AAAATTAGGTGTCTATTTACTTGTGACCACTCAGTGTACACGCTCTTCCTTTTTATCGAGCTAACTATCTTCTCTTTGCAATGCTTCTAGGAACAAATTATGAGTAAATATCTTGTAAACGACCTTGATGTATAGATAAGCTTATACTTATATTTATAGCTTATACCAGTTGTTGCACAAATACTTTCATTAGGCGACGTGATGCTCAAACTAACAAGTTACTAACGATTTATTAATAGACTGAAAGTACCATCCAGAATATGCCCGTAATTAAGAAGATATAAGGCATATTTCTTGGCTTTTGTGTCGTTATTCTAAGGAAATGATTGCAAAATAAAAACATTAAAGTTACATATTTAGTTTTGTTTTATCTCGCTGCTGACAAAGAAGATGTTTATGTGTTTACTGTTTTATTTGATTATATGTTATGCTACTATGTTTATTACATTTATTACTTATTTAAACAATGTAATGTTTCTTGAAATACATTTCCTATAAAATCTACCTATAAGGTGTTCCCTTTTTAAAACTCTCATATATGGAACCTTGCATATATTACACAACAAATTTTGACTTTAGGCCTACACTAGGAGATATATAGGGAGTTGAGAAAGTTATGCTATAACAATTTTGAACATGTAAATCAGCAGAAAGTCACATGACAACCAAATTCGATATAAAGTTGAGGTGGAACGAAATGTATAAGAACTAAATTGTGACATTATTTGGCTTGACGTAGGTAGTGTGATGGCATCAAAAATTGATTTCTGGAGAGATATGTAACAGCCCTTCTCGTCACAAAATATTTATACATTCACATCAAAAAGATGTTTTCAGATCGAGGAATTAGAATTTCTAAGATGAGGATACCTCTTATATTTAGTGGAATTAGAAAACACAAATATGGATCAACTTGAAGCACCAGATCTATTCAAAAAAAGTCTGCAACAAGTGGTATTCTAGTCATGATAAAGAAAGTACGATGTCTTATAACAGGTGAGAATCCTTAAACACAAAGGCCAGTGTCAAAAACCATCCATGTTCCATAGAAAGTATGCAACATAATCAAGAAGGATTTCAATCTGGAAAAGTGATGTGTACACAAGTTGTTATAACGACTTGTTTGTTCAACCGTAGCATACCTCAGGTAGTTGGAGAATGGAACAGGTAATTATATTATTCCATACGAAGACCTACAAGTCAAGTGGTCAGATGCAGCGCATTTGAACTTCTTTGTGATCGGACTGTTGAAACAGGCACTTGGAAACCGTCGTCCACATACCCTGTTGGGAATATGGAAACTATGCATGGAGTATTGATGTGCCTTGGACGTGACAGTTTTACAACGGACCCTTTTATGATGGAAACTACGCTGCAAAACTACTGTAAAGATGCACGGCTGTGAGATAAAACTTTATCAGATGTGGCAACATGAACTAATGACATCGTGAGTCTCCAAAATCATTTTAGTACAACATATTCAACATCTATATATGTATGTGTGCGTATGAGGGTTGAAAGGTGATAAGGTTTTTACTTTGATAAACTGGTTTTGTAATGATAAATAATTTAATATTTTTATTGTCCTGTCAGTGCCTAGCTCACATATTACTTTTGAGACCTTGATGCTTTAGAGTAGCATAAGATTAAGAACAGTGAGACTTTTTCCTTTACTTTTTTAACAGTTTTTTTTTTACTGAAAATACGTAATTACTCTTGGAATGAATCTAAGAATTGTAAGGTCAAAAGGTTAGTAAATTACAACGAAAATAAAGGAAAATTATAAAACTTTAGCACATTCAACAGACTGACCTGACTTCAGAGAGATACGTCCACCTCGTTCCCCACTGGCTCAGCAATAAGTCTGACGTTAAAAACCGGGTTTCGATACCAGTGGTTGACATAATGCAAATAACCCCTTGTGAAGCTTTGTGTTCAATAGCAAACGAACAAACACTTATTGAAAGCATTAGGACTTTATTGGGTTTTGTAATGTGACTTACTGAAAAAATCTATGGTATTGTGTAAATAAGCTATGATAGGGTTCACATAGCAAGTTATGAGAAACTTCTAACTAAGAACAGATCACATCATTAGTTGAATACTGTCAAATTAATGGAACAATAATATACAAAACCATAGTACATTTACGTACACCATTCTTAGAAGTTCCTGCACATTAAAGTTGGCTTTAAACTGTGAAAATATAAACTAGTGCTGAATTAAATTATGTTTCTATTTCTGTTTTAATTTATTTAGAAAACGACTGGGTATTATTCTTAGTAAAAAGAAAATGTCAAAATCTTTTAATAACTGTTTTGGAATATTTGGCTTTCAACGATTATAAATTTATATTTAATGTTTTCCTAAAGGACCTCCAGATAGCAATAGTACATGACTCAAAACACTACAAGAGTTTGGAAGAGGAAGTAAAAACTATGACAAATATGGTGGACACAAAGCAAAAGTAAGAACTGATGATAATAAATGCAGATATATTTTTTAAGGTTTTAAAAATTAGTGTTACTTTCTTTCATATCAGAAATTTACAGCTTAAAAATAAATTTTATAAAAAATTAAATAACATATAATGTTCACATATTTTATTGAGAATTGGGATGTCATAAATCTATTTTTTAAATCTCATGTAAATAAATCTCATGCATAAAATAAATTAATATTATATCGAAATGAAGAATATCAAAAATATAATTGTGGATCGTGTTACATTTCCTGGTTGTTAATATTTTTTTATTTAAATGGAGCAAACATCCTCCTCTAGGTGACATCGTTAAAAAACTTTGTTTCACCTTTCAGAGAATTGTGTAACTTCAACGATTTTTCCATTGATGACTTTATTCTGATTTGAACTATTCAAGTTCTTCTGTAATCACTCAGAAAATATAATGTTATATATGGAATAGACCATAATTTTTTTCCAAATTAAATTAATGTCTTCAGATATTCAAGGCCACAAGAATTCTACTTTTGCTTTTCAAAAGCTGCATATGCTCTGAAGTTTGCCACAAGTGCTGTATTTGTAATACGTGTAGGTACGCACAGTTCATTACAAAATCTTATTATTTCCCTTATAAAATACCAGAAGTATAAAAAGATTAAGAGTGGGGCCCCCTATTTATTTTCTATTTTTGTTTATTTGAAGATCTCGATCAGCGAGAAACCCACCCTTGGGGTTGCTATGTGCACTTTGTTAAAAAGTATAAAAATAAATGGGCAAAGTATGAGATAGGTGCAGAATGGTCTAAAAAGGTGAGAGCAACTTTCAGAATTTAAAATCCCTTCCGATCCCGGAGAAATAGGCGAAAACGATCGGCTACTTCCTGACTTCCCAGAAAATCAAAGGAAAGATTCAGAATGCTTCGATTTTAGCAAATATTAGAGTTACTTTAGTTCCAATGATGTTATTAATCAATTTCAAAGCATAATTAGTGAAAATAAACATGTTTCTAGTTTTATTCTAGTACGTCTTTAATCTCAATGTCCAAATCTTGAAACGAAACAGTTTCTTCAACACACATTTCCATAATCTTCCTCTACCTCTTCCTTTTGTTTTTACTGGCCTTTGGATCTTTTGCACTACTCCACGTCTACTTTAGGGGATAACATGGCAATATTTTGTTGTACATATAGCTGGAGGATCACAATGTAAACACATTTTACAGCTTTTGCAGCTTTCTTTGTTTTTCTATTTATGTTCTTCACATGGTCCTGGATTCTCGTAACTTCGGTCAAACTTGCGCCCCATAAAAATGGAAAACTGATTTCGAAACAGCTGAATTTTGTACTTACGGCAGTGTTATCCGGGCTTTATGGTATTTTACGCGAAAAAAAAAAGATTTTGAAATTATAATTTTTTCCGACAAAAAACTGTAATTTTGGGTGGGTTTCCGACTGACCGGAATTATAAATATCTTTTATGCTTACAATGTGGTTACATTGAGCCATAAAAGTATGTTTACTAGTTAACTTACAGTTTCTAGTGTTTACACTTTATATTTATAGTATTTTCAAAGTCATTTAGACCAAGAATGTTAATGCAACGCCCCCCGGTGGCACAGCGGCATTTCTGCGGACTTACATCGCTAGAAACGGGATTTCGATACCCGTGGTGGGTAGAGCACAGATAGCCCATCGTGTAGCTTTGTGCTTAACTTCAAACAAACAATAAATGCGAATTAATGCGTAATACGTTAGACTAAGCTCAAATATGACTTATAACTGCTACGCCAAATATGTTCTAATATTTGTTTGCTGTCTTACATCTTTTCTATCAAGTAGAATAAGAATTTGGAGTTAAGTGTTTCAGCTTTATTAAAAACTGTATATAGTAAGTTATCTAGTGATGAACAATAAATTCTAGTGCTTTTCCTTCCCACCATATAAAACAGTACTGAAAAAGAAAAGAAAAAAACGCGATGTTTTGAAATAATATGCAATTGGAAATAAAAAGTCCTTTTATGGGCACTCATTACTTTTTAATGATTAATTGTGATGCATTCTATAAAAGTCTGTCACGTGTAAGCAAGATTCTGGTTATTGATTGTACTTATCAAGGCAAATGAAAATCAAGAACTGTATTATTATTATTATCATCAAAGATTACAGGAAGAATATGACAACAATAGTTCCCAACGGTGGAAAGTTAGTGCATTTGGTCATATTGTAAGAATGATACCTGGTGGCTCAGAAGAAGAGGATAAGCCCACCACTAGAAGACCGATCAAAGATTGGGATGAGAGTAAGTATTAGTTATGCTTTGGATTTGCATTAAATCATTATATTACCTGTATAATTTAGATACTGCTTACATAGAAAGATGGACGTAAAGTTCATGCTTCGAGGGTCTTTTAAGTATTCAAACTTATTTTATCAACTATAAACACACATTTTTTCATTTGAGGTAAAATGTATTGGAGTTATACATTTTTCTATCTCATAAAAGTGTTGATAGATAAATAGAAGTATCAAACTTTTAATGAAATGACACTAAACGGCATAGAGTTTCGATAATGGTGACAGAAGTTGTGATGAATCTTAACTTTTTGTTTTATCACAAAATCGCTATATTTTAAATCAAACTTTCAAACCTATAATCTTACAAAAAATCTTAAAATTGATTATCTTCATCCTGTGCATTTAGCGATTGTTATAAGAAGACTGTAAATACTCTTATTCAAGATATACATGCATTTCGCAAAGCTTGATGAAAGAGAACCCAAATAGAGTTATGTAAGCACCACGCATCAAAAGAATTAAATTTATTATATGAAGATTATAGTTTTGCTGCAGTAAAGACTGACATTTTCTGTAAAGAAAATAACGTAAAAATCGTATTAAGCCATATATATATATATATACCCTACTGAATGTGAACCACGCTTAATCTACACAATGATCTACCTGTGTTTTGCTCACCATGGTTATCGGAATCCGGTTTTTAGCATTGTAAGCTTGCAAAGTTATCGCTGAGTTACTGGAGGCAAGTATGGAAGTAATGTTTTGAAAAGATATTACCATGTCCGATAAAAAGATTTTGGAAAAGGTCCTTCGGCTTGCCGTAAAAATGTATACTGCTTGATCAAGGAAAATAAAATAACTCCTACCAAGTATTACTTAATACACTATTTGGGTAACGAACAAGTTACCCATATGAGTATTGTTTTTTGTCGGATTCATGTACTGGAAGATAAGTTTTGGATTGAAAATATATCAGGGGGAAGGAAAGATGGTTCGAACATCCTGAAAGACAAAGCAGAAGAACTAATTTACTCTTCCAGCAGTTCCATGAACAGTACGAAACATGCAGTAAAACATAGCCTGAAAGCTTCAGGAATAATTTTGACTAACATCTGAAGGGTAACATTCAACAACATATAGTTTCCTATTTCACTCAAGGATTTTCTGAATTTGAAGGCAAATATGCAACAAATAATGTGAGTGAAAATATGAAATCATAAATAAGTATAGTGTATGAAAACCTGTTGTTACCTTGGTTCTGTATTTAGTATAGTGTATGAAAACCTGTTGTTACCTTGGTTCTGTATTTAGTATAGTGTATGAAAACCTGTTGTTACCTTGGTTCTGTATTTACTTCATGCAAATATACTTCGTTCATAAATTCCACAGAGAAATGGGAAGAAAATGAAATACCTCCACTTCTTTCTCTGGGTGAACTAATACATTGTAGAATGCAACAGGTAGATGAAGCATGTATTGTGAATAAAAAGCCCAATTTTCAGTGATGCCAGATATACCTCTGGAAGAAAAGTAGCGTATATGAAAGAATGCCTTGTGTAAATACGGAGTTTTTCCAACATAAGGCTCACAAGATATGAGCAACAAGCAAAAGTATCCGTCCTCTTTGACAGGAAAAATTTAAGTTAATCTACGAATTTAAATTAGTTCATGGACTTTATAAAAGGGTTAATTGTGTTGCACTCTTGGTTTCACTCAGAGCTTTGAGCTACTTATACCGCCCATCGCGAAAAGAAGAGCCGCTCAACAATAACATACGGTAAATGTACATTCTTAGGATAGTGTGATTAATTCCTAACAATTTAATGTAGAATATCCTACTTGCGAAATAAAATTTGGCATCAACATTATTCATGCCTGGTCGTCCGTCATTTCGAAAGTGAATGTTGAACCTTGCCTTTGTGTGCAGCTTTTCAAATGGGAGACAGACGAACGTTCGGACAGACACCACGGTTCCCAATATATATATAAGATAACAAGTTCAAGATGTGGAATAAAATATCAGGAGAACAGCTTGAGTAAAAGGTAAAATAATAGACCCGATTTACATATGTGTCAATATTGATTCCAAAAACAATTAATTGTGAATGATATGCTTAATTAAAACGATGTCAGACAAACAAGAACGGTAATGGTACTTAAGTAATGCTACACTCAGTGGTGGATATCTTCTTTGTTTGCTTTTAATTCATTCCAATTAACTTTGTCACTTTTATTGTGCATGTAGATTGGTATCTTCTATGTTATCATTGCAAAATTTTAGGTCAGTAGGGAAATATTTCCCTAGTTAATACTTATGTGATATGTAAAACATAGCAGGTGTTTCTTTGCTTATAGGTTAGAATGGTTAATTTTTTGTTCAGTAAAGTTTTCATAATTTTTCACACTTATGCATGCCCAGCGCAAGCATTGACTTAAATGTGCAGATACACCGGTTATGTAATGTTGCAACGTTTTTCTTGAGTTAATCACAAACTATCTATTGTGACTTCCCTTTTGGTGTATCTAAACTTTCACATGGTAGGTATCTCTGGAGAATTAATTACTTACACTAACGTGTTTTAACATCAGTACCACAGATCCTTAGGAAAATCTGAATAATGTGTCCTTCCTTGCAAGAAGTATATACTAGTTGATTCTCTCAGTTTTAACCATCTACAAATATAGATTTCCCTGAGAAATTTCTCTCAACAACACAGAAAAATGCGAACGTCTTTCATTTCGTGAATACGTTTTTGCCTCAGTTGTGTTTCTCTGTCCTGTGTCTTTACAGACAAGTAAATTGTTTTTGTTTAGCATTAAAATTTATTTCTAGCCTCTGTCTTCAATTAAGTCAGGTATAAAACTTAGATTTAACTCCGTAACACGTATTCTGCTGAAACTCTTGTTAGAACGGTGATCATTGTACCTGAGAATATCCTATTCATACAAGCTTTACTTGTGTTGAACCACATAAAGCGAATATACAGTTTTTTTTTTTTCATTTTGATTCTAAGTTATTTCTGTGATCTACAAAGTTTACTTTAGTAGATGTAAACATATATATATTACTTACTTCGTCCATTATTTTTTTTTATTTCTGATCCAGTGTTGGAAGAATGCGAAAGATATTGACCAAGTTTAATTAAAAAAAATAGAGGGTTTATGATGTATTTTCGTATAAAATACATTTTTTTTCTTCAAAATCTTAGGGATCAATAGTTACTTTAACTAGTGTTTCATCTATTTTAATACACAATCTCAGGGATCAATATTTACTTTAACTAGTGTTTCATCTATTTTAATACACTTCTTGCGATTAATATTTGATTTCTCACATTTCAGTTATATTCCGTGTCCATTGTGCCGACCACACTTACACGACGCTAAAAACTGTTGTGGGAGCCACTTCAGAAACGATCAAAGGATTTGCTGCTGATAAACTGGGTCTGAAGGATGACCTTGTGTTGGTGGAGGTTAAATCAAGTGGCGGTAGGTACATGTTGTATTAAGTTAGTGTTTGATTTGACTATGTTTTATTGTTTGTTATACAATACATACTGTCCCTACTGCAACCTATCCGCGGCAGTTATAACTTAATTATAAGTTTGTTATCGAGAATAACAGCAAGTCGAGTTTGACCACGTAATTATCAATAAATATATAATTAAATAGAGATAATTTTATCGAAAATACACAGTTCGTCAGTTTAAGTACAGATTAGCCATTGGAATAACATCAAATATTTGTTGTTCACGTTATCAAAACTCCATAATTAAGTTCACTTAATTATTCTTGAACGACTTGTTAGATATAGCCAGAGTTATCTGACTTAGCACTAATAATAATGTAGCATAATATATTATATATCGTTCTATATGAGTCAGTAATCTCAGGACCGATCGCAGCCCATTGGTTTGCATGGAGCTGAGATACCGATGGTTTGTGTCTTGTACTTTGGGGCCGTGGGTGATTTATAAATGATAGTCAAATCTTATTACTTGGTCTAACAAAAGGGTCCCTAAAGTTGGCTATGGATGGTGTGGACTAGTTGCATTCATTTTAGTCTATCATATCAGAATTAGGAACGGCTAGTGCAGATAGCCCTCGTGTAGCTTTGAGCGAAACCCAACAGAACAAACAGTAAACTCAGGTGAACCAACTAAAGAAGTTAGAATATGATTTGGAAGGGAATTACTCACAAATGTTACCAGGCATTATATTATAGTAATATCTTCTCATTTATGTATTAAGATATAGTATTTACAGGAAGAAATTGATTTCTGGGCAAGTCTTTGATAGTTAGACCGGCTAATAAGAACAGATTAGTTCAGGAAATAAGAAAAGTAATTTATGTTTGATAACTATGATAAGTTGTATGTAAAATAATGAGACAGGACAAATTGAACAAAACAAACACAATCTATATTATGGAACAAATAAAAAAGAAACGCAGCTCATGTATTGGTGCACACGAAAAGACAGTCGCTGTAACTGGAGTGGCATTAGCTTCACAGCTTTCTCAGGATAGAACTAAACACAACGATCTTAAAGTATGTCTTTACTCGAAGAACTCCAGGGAGATCTCTGAACTAACAAAATACGTCTTAATTCCACAGGAAGTTCGATTTCTTTATCCAGTCGACAATGTCATATCGAGACATTTGTTCTCTCACAGCATTGGTTGGTTGTAACAAACAGACAGTCAACCAGCAAAGGATATTACAGTTACTAATACTTTCAACCCGGATGATGTATGCTACTCCAATATCTTCTCTATACAGAACAAAGAAACAAAACAACTACAACAAGACAATGTCAACGACTTTCTGAACCATGTGTTTATGCTAAAACGGTGCATAGATTAAATACACGAAAAAGATTAAATTCCTATATAACTAAAGCAGATAGAAAAATTGTAATATGTTTTTATACCTTATACCATAAACATATAAAGTTAAGAACGGCTAATTTCATTTACGTTGTAAGGTGTAACTGTGCGATAAAATTTAGAACATATTTTCTACATCTGTGAAAACCTTTCAAGGTGGGAATTTTTCTGTCGTGATATAGTCTTACATACATATATATGTATATATTTAGAGGAGGAGAAGTGGAGGGATATTTATTCGCGCTTTAAGTTTGTAACTGTACGAATGATCTTATTTAACTTACCATTATGGATGTAATATGGAACAAACATAAATACTTGTAACACTTTCAAAGCATTCTCTGTACCATCTGTTTCCCAGACTTTGTTGCCTACAAAGTTGACTTATTGTGACAATACTTCCGTTTGTTACATCTCGTTAGATAATATTCTGTTCAGCTATATGTTAGGATATGTGTTTACAGACACCGTTCTTGTAGACTAAATCCATATAATTTATCTTACTTATAGCTTCAAAGGAGATTCTTATTCTAACTTCAATGAGCAGCTGTGATTTTGTTTTTATTTTCTTGACAAGCTATTTAATTTTCTTTACTTCCTTAGCTACCCGATTAGTAGCTACCCGACGAGTAGCGCTTTTTCACTGCTAGAATTTCATCTTCTTTTGCTTTGCCAATATAATCTAACAATTCAGACGTACCTTTCCTAGAAATGCTAAATTTTCGTGCTTTGCATGATTTTGTAATATGTAGGATAGGAGAACGTAATGTTGAATGGTTGTGTATTTTAACTACACCCAAAAGTGGAGGCAATTTTAGATGCCATCTGCTCTTGCAAATTACACACTGGGACTGAAAAGAAACAAGAGGGTTTGTGATTTTAAGCTGTATAGTTATGGGCCACAGGCAATGTTATTAGGTGTGCCAGTTTCACCATATTGTGAAAAAAAAATCGTATGTATGTATAATTGAGAATTACTTAATATAATGTGAAAATGCATACTAAACTTCTCATTGTTTTGTCATCAAGTTTAAAAGAGTTGGTTTTCACATATCATATGTGTTTGAATTCCCACGAGAATTAGACTGCAATAATATATTATGGACAGCCTAGCTTTATAGGGTAAAATGGCACACAGTTTCTTTGAGCACACAAGTTTGATGTCCTTAAGATTTTTAATTCTTATTGACATTTTACAAAGTCGAGTTAACTTATTGTGTGTGTAGAAAGAAAGTGGTAAGAAAAGCAGAAGAAGGGCTAACAACTTTTTTAGCTAAACATAAATGTGTTTAAATAACGTAGCTATATAAACGTGCTCTGAGAATTTTTTCATAGCTACTTAGGAACCGTTCTCTGACATTCCAGATCACCTAGTCTAACAGCAATTGTTTCAGCAGAAATTGTACTATCTGAAATTGTGATTACTACAATAGTTACAACGCTTGATTTTATAATTAAACGAGTTGATTATGAAACACTTTAAATCCTATATAAATATTTCCAGCCATTTTCATAGTTCCTTAGTTAGACAAGAGTACTGTTAGCAGTAATGTCCTGCTAGTTAGATTAGTGTACTGCCAGTTGTAATATCCGGCTAGTTAGACAAGAGTACTATTAGCAGTAATGTCCTGCTAGTTAGATTAGTGTACTGCCAGTTGTAATATCCGGCTAGTTAGACAAGAGTACTATTAGCAGTAATGTCCTGCTAGTTAGATTAGTGTACTGCTAGTTGTAATATCCGACTAGTTAGACAAGAGTACTATTAGCAGTAATGTCCTGCTAGTTAGATTAGTGTACTGCCAGTTGTAATATCCGCTAGTTAGACAAGAGTACTATTATCAGTAATGTCCTGCTAGTTAGATTAGTGTACTGCCAGTTGTAATATCCGGCTAGTTAGACCAGTGTATTGTTAGTATTAATATCCTACTAATTATACTAATTGATTGTTAGTGGTAATTCCCCGCTAAATAGACTAATATATTGCCAGCAGTGTATTGTTTTCGGATTCACAGTCCGAGCACGCTAATCTCTAGAGTCTAGACCATGCCAATCCCAACTAACAATTAAAAAACAATTTATATTGAGATATCAAGTTAATATATTTACTTATTTCTGCATTATATAATTTTAGATACACATCTATACATTTATATGCAACAAAACAATATAATATAATATAATAAATGTACAACGGTAAACACAATAAGAAAACCTCAACAAAAACTTTCAGGCAGTGCCAGTATGAGGTTCTAAGTCATTATAATATTGCACAAAAGGTAATAAACAAAGGAACAAATTAAATTAAACAAATATATGTGGCTGTATGTTCTACAGGAATAACTAATTATGAAGATGGGACACTAGGTGGTAAAAATTCAATGCCCTGACGTCACATATCGGTTGTTACATATATAGACTGAATGATGAAGCCATATATCGTAACGTAGTGATCTTAATGCGGAAAAAATTAAGTTATTCAAATAATCAAAATTTAGGTAAAAATGCATAGGTAGTAATACCTAGGGTTAACCTAACCAGATAAAAGCGGTAGTTTATAGTCAAAAGCATTAAGAGAGGAAAAAAAAGCAAAAATAAATAAATAATACAGAAAATGTGTGAAAAATAAAATCGTTTAATTAGAAAAGAGACAGAAATGGCGAACAGATGACAAGAAGAGTAGTTAGCGTAGATACGGTTTGTTTATTTGTTGTTAAGCACAAAGCTACACAATGGGCTATCTGTGCTCTGCCCACCATGGGTATCAAAACCAGAATTTTAGCGCTGTAGTCCTGCACACTTACCGCTGCGCCATTGAGTGGGTGCGTAGAAAGAGGGTTTTGTTTGGTGGTTTGGTTGTTGTTACAAAGCTACACAATGGGCTATCAGTGCTGTGCCAGCCACAGGTATCGAAACCCGAATTATAGAGTCGTAAACTTAGATACTTACCGCTGAGCCACAGGGTGACTGCGTAAAAAGGGAAAAATTGTGGAATAAAAGCAAAAACACGAACCTAGCCCACTAAAATAGAAATAACAGAATCTGCAAAATATATACGAGTCATTTACTACAATCTCTTTTGGCAGTTAACTACAGCGTGTTAAAATGACACGCTTTTTATTATGTATGTGTATAATCCTTTTCATCTTTAAAAAAATACTAATTTACCATTGTTATGTTTTTTTTGCTGAGGGCCCTCCCAACTGGATATTTTTGACCTAAATAAATGTATGTTACAAACATTTTCGAAACGTAAAAAAGAAACGCACCATGTTAGTAGCTATGGCATGAGAATAGGTCGAATTGGAACAACCAGTGCCATGGCTATGCATAAAGCCGAGAATCAGTCTCCGTCCACTTGGAAGTGGTGTATTTCCGCTTGAGTGGGAAATACCTCAACATAACACAATGGCAGTAGGTGTACCGCCCACAAGAGTGGTGCAAAGCTGCAAGATAAATTAGATTGTAAGGTGTCGTTTTATGGGATAAGATAGAGATTATCTGTGGGCGCAGCCTTATGGGATGATGTCATCAGTGTTTTATAACCAATTTCTAATTACTTTCTGGCGAGTTTAATGGACTTATAACTATCACGAGTCAGTTACTTACCCCCTGCTAATAGATGCCCAGACATGTTGTATGAACTCATTATTGCAGTTAGATCATCTTCTGACTCGCTTGACCAATCAGCACCATCTTCGTTTGGAAGTAGTCCTAACCAGCTTGATGATGATCAGCTAATAGAAAGGCCTTCCTTGTCTCATTGGATTTGAATACAAAATGAACAAGGAAAAATCTTCTTGACTATTTGACGAGTATAGTCCAAAGTCATATTGCCATATCAAGGCATCATCCTTTGGTATGATTTCCAGCTCTTTTGTTTAACGACAATCCATGAGCAGAAGTATTAATGATATACAGTGATCACAAAAGTACAGGGGAAAAAGGATGTTTGCTCATGTCATGGACCTGTGGCCTAAAGTTTACATATAATTGTTTGTATTTATTTATATATATATATTATTCGTACATAGAGTACAATTAATACAGTTACAGACATCAATAGTTATACAGATAACTAATATGTACACAGGTGGGAAATGATAATATTTATATCTACCCTGTCGTCACCTCCTAGTATCTCCCTGAAGCGGATAAAGTCTCTAATAGCACAGGCTCTTTGGCCAGTCTGGGGCTTTTTACATTGAAGAAATCTCGGTAAAAATTCCCGGTGAAAATTGTGTTTTACAACAAATTTGACTGATGGAATTCCCAACAGAAGATCCACTGCCACTTACAGCCATTCTATAACATAATCTGACTAGCTCGTTTTCAGACGAATGGCAGGAGTTCATAAAGTTCACAAAATGCTTGTGCATTTGAAATTCTACGGGATGATCATCCACAATTCTAGGTAACAAGTCACAATGAGTGTCATATGGCACCATGAGAATGCGACGAATGCATTTCCGCCATGCGCAATAAAAACTTTAATTTTGTCTATGATCAAAATCCCAAAGATTCGATCCATATGAACACAAACAGTAAGTTTTAAACAGCCTGTATCGCACATCATATGAACAATGTGAAAATTTAGATAGTAACGAATTACGTCTCTGGTACAATTCATTCATGCTTTTCTGAATGGAATTTACTCTGTAATTAAAGCCGATGTAATGACCGAGGTGTACAGCCGATTAACGTAATGGAACCATCATGTCACAGAACAATATAGGCTGTTCTACATTATCATTACTAACTGAAGTAAGACATCTGAATTTCAGAAACTGACATTTCACTGGATTGAACTTAATGTTAAGGTCCTTGTCCATTTGTTCGGCAATTTCCAACATATTCATTAACCCAGTTCACGACCGAGCTAAAAGGATATTGTCATCGGCGTAAGTGATCGCTCCTGCAAATATTCTGCCAATGTAGCAACCCTGACCACAGTTACGTAGCTCAGTAAGTAACATATCAGCATAGATCGAAAAAAGCACAGGTGATAGAATTCCGTCTTGCTTGACACCATTGGACACAGATATCAAACCTGAAAGAACCTCTCCCCAGCGAAGCCGCATCGCCTGTCCTATATGCATAAGTGACAGTACTCTACATGTTAAAGGACATAAACCTTTCTCAAATAATCGTTTAAACAGTTTAATATACCGGAGACGATCAAAAGCCTGACTCGCATCCAAAAACATGCAAAACACGGACGTGTCATTATTTAAGTAATACTGAATTACTTCTTGTACAGCAAAGGTACACTGTGTAGTCTAAGATTTCTGCTTAAAACCAAATTGCAGATTGGTTGTAACCAGTGACTCAGCATTCATTTCTAATATTACAAGGTCAAAAAGTTTACTTAACGGGCTGTTTAAGGCAATGGCTCTATAATTACCTGAGTCACTCAGCGATTTTCTTGTATTTTTTGGAATAGGTATGATGCCAACATATCACCAGGGACGTAACTATGACGCATCATTACCGTAAACGAAATGGTTAGATGTGTGCCTAATACCAGTCCTCCATGTTTGATATGGTCGGTAGAAGATAATCCGTCACCGTCTCTCTTACCGGAGTTAAGACGGGACACGGCATTATTAGTTAGGTCAGTCGTAACAAAATGGCCGTGATAACACTGGTCACTACAGCAGTGATGACGAATTGGCTCATCCAGTTCCCGTACCAAGATGGCCATATCCCCTTCTTCGTATGAGACACAGTTCTACAGACGCTCATACTTACGAGCAAATACATTGGCGATTTCTCTTTCGCCGGTAGCGCCATCAACGGTAGAAGGAACAGGTTTAGAGGTTTTATTGCACTTCTTCACCTTCTTCCATAAGTCCTTCCACGAGTTACTGATGGCACATACGCATTTAATCTAGTATTGTACACAGTCATCATTAATGGAATTTTAGGAGTAGCAAACGATTCTTCTTTTAACGTCTGCTTAAACAGCTTCAAGCTCATCATATTCACCTTCATCCATTAATTTTCGTTTGGCGACTGTTCTATTGGTCCATGTTTGAGTTGTTGATAGAATGCTAATCTTTTCAGATATTCTTCTCTACGTTTTGTTTTAATACTTAGAAACAAGTTCTCATACACCAAACGTTTATATTCGCTCAGTTATTCCTTTCTTTGGAACTATTATAACTCGTAACATCGTCAGTGGAATTTTCTTTCTTGGATTCGTTTTCACTGGAAGCAATAACCTAGTCAAAGATATAATTTTCATCACTCATGCCAAATATATTTTAGTGTGATCCTTAATGAATGTTCTTTTCATTGCATGTTTTTCGCGCCTTTCGTAATACTTAACACGCACTCTGCAATTCGATATTATTATAATGTAGTTTTCGTTTGCTAAGACTAGTATCTAATGACTAAACTGAGAGATACAAGTCACTTTTCTACTCCTGGCATTTATGAGCGCTGTCAGACTAGAAAAGTTAAAAATTATGAGTTATTTTTTATGATTTCGTCATTATGCTTTCATTTTGCCTTTTTCTGCTTGCGTTTTTCATTGTGGATATCATATTTTGTTTATATGCGTTTTATGGACTTATTGTTTTCTTGAAATGACGATATTAGAGTTGTAAAAGTTTAATACACCATTCGTTATTGCATTATAAGATTTTTTCAGTTTACGCCCCCATTTGTATACTTTATAGAGAGAATTGTCTTCAAAGACTTCGAAGTCAGTGTCCCCACGGGTCTCAGCATCAACGGCAGGATATTTCTATCTCCAACTGACCATTTAGATGCTTTGGTAAGTCATTAGATGAAGCTAGAACGAATCTTTGTTTCTGATATAAAGCTGATTCATTGGTAAATGAGTTGCAACAAGTACAGCTGGAAGTATTTTAAAAATATGAATTCGAAACTTAAAAAAAAGAAATATTGTTTAGTGCTTCAGATTGCATGTGATTCTTTGATACCGCTGTGACTTTTATGAACCAGGCAGGAAACCATTGTTGAAATATAACTTTGCGCCTGTCAGACTAAAGAAGGACCAAAACAGTTCAGTATGTTATTTATCATTACGATAACTAAATATTATCGTCTCCAACTTATGTTTGTCTAGTTATCATATTGTTTAGTTGTTTACGTATGTTTTTTTAAGCTAAACATTTTTGTTACAGACACCTTTGCCAGAGCAAGAAGGACCATCAGAAGGAACTGGAAATACCCTAGAAACCTTAAATAGTAACGAGTTAGCCTACCAGATGGCAATGTATGACTGGGAACTTTTCAGTTCCGTGCATGAGGTTTGATTATGCTTTCCTCTGTACAAAAGTTTAAATCACATACATTATTTTGCTTTTATTAATAGTCAGTTAAATTTTTACTCACAATTTGCACGAAGGTTTAATAGGTGACTGTTTATATAAAAAACACACACGTAAGATACGAGATGTAAACATATAGAGAAATAATGCAAAAATGCTATTTGTAAAGAATTGTTTTCTTTTTGTTAAGCAATCTTTTTGCAGAATTTTCACAAAGCATTTAAATCTCTATTCCTTGAAGTTTTTAGAGTAATGATGAATGAACCAGTTTTTATAACTATTTTTACTTCTAACAAGTATCTTTTTTAAAACCTTACATAGGTTTTAGCTAAACTGTTTGCAGCGTACGTCCTGTACTAGTAAAGTTTCAAATTAGCTTTCAGTGCTGAGACGCAATAATGATTCTTCTACGTTGGATACCTAAGAGGATTAAATAGTCTTATAATTTGCGTTCTTGGAGCTATATTATCGTACAATTTTTTATATATATATATATCCGAAATAAGGTGAAAGGAAGGATAATTCATCACATAATGTAGTGTTTCTTTGATCTCACTTTTATGAGGATTTAAAGATGCATTTTGAAAGAAAATTAGCCACAAATAATGACTTTTCCCACTAAAACAATTAAAACATATTTTCAAAACTTTAATAAGTTTTGGCTATAGAAAGACGGGAAAATTTGCTAAACTATTGCTCTACGTGAGATACTTTAAGTTTTATAGTAATGATTAAGGAATATATCGCTGTGATTAATGTTGAACAGCGAGTGAAACATATCACAATACTGAGATACATACTATAGCATATATAATAAGTAGAAATGGAGTTATGATCTTTTGGTGAACAATCCTGTGTTTCAGACGAATAATACTACTTAGAAAGTTCACTGCTTTAGTGTAAATGTTTTTAAATATAAGCTAAGTGCAAACAGTTCAGAAATATGGATTGTAGTACTCAAAATATTTTCAAATCTTTTCACATATAAGACCACACAAAATTACATATTACATTTACAGATGCTTTTTCAAAAAAAATATGAGTGCATGAAATTTTTCTTTTCTTGAATGAATTGATATAAGTTTCGTTTTTATCACACAATTCTACTCGTTCCATTGAAATACAAGATTGAGAGTGCTAATGACTCTCTCTAAGGGATGGGATTAAGGGGTATAAAGTCATAAACGGTATGTGAATTTCAACCAAAGAGTTAAGATCCAAGTGTAAGATATAAACAAATGAGGGCCAACATTAGACAGGTAAGTCACTCAGTGATCCAACTCTCATCCGTGTAAAAGAATAGAATTAGCTTAACTTTTATAACAGCTTAGATCAGTAATAAACTCATGATACCTGTTATCAGGTGCTGTTTCTCATGTATTTTACAAAATATGCTTGAGCTTTCTGAATGAAAACATCACATTTATTAAGATTCCCCTTCATGGTTTGACAGCAATAAGTAACCAAAGAATTAACATACATGTATAAGAATATCTACAGCACTTTCTTAATCTATTTAGCAGGAACTTATAAACTACAGAACCCACACACGATTTGATAAAACCAGTAAAGGTGCCGGTAGTTTGTACAATAAAATAGCCATAAAATACGTTTTATTTGCTATTAGCATACAATTAGACTTGATTAAAATCAAATTGTATTTGATTAATATATTATGAAAATCTTGTTTTTTTCATATAATTAAAACAAAATAAATAACAGAACTAAAATGTGGGAATCAGAAAGGCTGCACTTTAGCAAGGGCAGGAAATCATGAATGCCAGATATTAATAAAATCTTGTTTTTCCATGACGTAATAAATTTTGTCCAGCGCTTTAGCAGTTGCAACGGCACTAGACACTTTGTAATGTAAGTTAACAAAAGAAAACACTAACCTAACTATTTACCACTGGTTTTCAGCTGACGTTTTTCTTTTGTTTTTCAGTAACTATATATATACTGTAATTATATGGAATACTACATGGCGATACCCTTAAATCTGTTAATTTTATACCCTATTGAATTTGATAACATTGTAAATAATTGCACTTATTTTTAAAGCTCTTTCCAAACTTATCATTTAAATCTGTTAGAAAAAATGGCTTTAGCTACGTAACCTGATTATTTCAAAAGTTTTATAGACATTTATATAATGTTGTTGTAAAAATACTTCCAGTGTCGACGCTAGAGG